CTCCTGCTGCAGTTCAAAAATAACATTTATTATATAAGACCACGTAGTCCTACGTCACCATTGCGTACAACCCCATAGGGCTGTCCCTTGTAGTTTTTTTGAATAAATTTTAATCATTTTAGATTCTATTTTTATTAATTTTTGATTGAATTTTAATCTTTTTTGATATGATATCAGTATTGAAAAAGAATAAAATTTAATACTAGAAAGATTATTTCGATTTTAATCATGCATGACTACTGCCGAAGTAATCATGGCTCGGACTCAATAAGGTGAAGCGGGAATCTGCATACTTTTTAAGCTTTTTTTAATTAATTTATCTTTGAGTGTTTCCATTAAAAAAAATATTGAAATCTAAATAGTATAAAAGCAACGCTAAATCGCAACTCTCCTGACCGACGCATAGCTTGGTATAAAGAGAGAGAATGCAAGCTTAGATAAAAATGCTTTATTCATTGAATAGTATAAAGTTGCGGTATTTTTTTGGATGTAGTCCGTTTATTTGTCAGGATGCGTTTTTTGATTGCGTTTTATATCGTGACTGATAATGAATAAAAGTAAACAGCAATAATGCAGTAATATTTTTATTGTCATAATTTAAGATAAAATATGAATCGTGAACGTTGTCAACCGAGCCTGCAAAACTATTTTCGTACTCCAGTTTCCGTTTGACAATCACTGGAGCAATCATTGCCAAGGTGCTGAAATATGGAACAGATATCTGTAATTAAGGATCTATGAAGAATCAATCCCTTTGATATAGACCTACCTCATACTCGCACGATAGATTGAACTTTAGAAAGAATATTGTAATGTTATGGTAATTGTGTAAGTAACCCTTTCGCATACGGGCGTTCTTGGATTGTATCCGACCAGCAGCTCCAGATCGGATTCTTCACAGGAATTCAGCAAAAACTGAAATGAAAATTATGTGGATGGAAAGGAATATTGGTTTTAATTTTAAAACTATGTTTACTGCATTACTTGTTGGTTGAAAGTGTCTATCGATTATATTGGCTCATATTAGACCACTAAACTACCGACGAAGCCAAGATCGATATAAAAAAATAAAGACTGGATCGAAAACCATTATGAGCGTCATCGAAATATTTACTTCAATACAAAGTGAACGATTTCTACGCCTTTATTCCGACTTAGTATAATTTTGAAACCAAATTATAATCAAATCAATGTTTAAATATTGATAAAACATAAAATGATTAATTTTTAACCTTTCTATGTTTAGTAATATTTTTGAGTGTACAATTTGAACCGGGGACCGGGGCTAATCACAAATTACTTCCCCACGGTTAGTAAAATATTCAAGAGTGCTGACCGGTTGGTAAGATGGCTACCCTTGGTTGGTTGAAACTGATTGCGTAAATAACAATATTTCGTTTCCGAAAAATATCAGTTTTTTTTCGAAAACATTTGTAGATTGATAATCAGTATGAATTCATGATATGGCGGCCCCGGGGGATCCATCAGAAAATCCGGAACACCCGTAAAAGTAGTGAATTCATAAAACTAGGTTCAGGACTTCCAAGAAGCTTCTGTTTCCGGCATTATAAATATGATGAACAAGGCATTCCAAGGCACACATAAATTAGGAATTCCGTCACTACGCGGCGCTAGTGCATATGTTAACTTTGTGCTATATCTTGAAATCTTGACCATCTACGGAATCAGAACATCTACGTGAAGTCCACGCATAGACAACCGGTGGAATCTAACGATTTTTAATTGGCTCACACTAGACTAGCCTATTGGTCCCAAGTACATCGTTGAACGTACCCCGTAGTCTAAATTCTAGTACTACACTAGTACTAGAGAAGTCAATGGATATTTTTGGTCCCTATTGAAAATTTAGTCGATTGCTGAGTGGGCAAAAGAGGCATTTAGGCCAACATTACATCCATTTCCTCTATGTCATAAATTCAACGTGATTTTTTGACGGAAGTTGACGGAGCTATTGCTGTTGATTTACCCAACGCTTCACCGTTTCTAAAGACCTACCTCCCGTTCCGTATTCAATAGAACAGTTTTATTTGCATTCTGATCCCATCGTCTGGTCCTACCTTTTCCTTCCTGCGAAACTGTTATGCCAACAGCTTCTTTAGTTCTGGCCGACCGTTTGACAATCCTTTCCACTACCCGGTAGATGATGAAGAAATCCAATCCCTGTATGCGATGCTTTTCCAACCGGAATCTACGATCTTCTCCTGATCATAAACACGAAAAGTCACGAAAACGGTTATCACCTGAAAAAAAAACAATCGATTATTCATAGTCATGCCGCGCTTCCGGCAATCTTAACTTTTGCGGAGTCACCAAAACAAACTCTTGAGGCACAAACAAACATACATATCTCTTCATTCTGGATCATCCTTCACGCATTTAACGATTGATTTTAATATTACCATTTCTGTGAACCACTCACCTGCGCTGGCATCGGATCATGCTGACGTTTCTATATTTTCTGTTTACAATGCAACATTGTTTGCAGCTAAGCGAGCAAGCTTGTTTTCCGCGAGAAACTCGAGGTATGTCCACCGACAAACTGACATGAATGACCATAGCAAAAACAATAAATTTTCTGACCAAAGCACACTACTGACATCTGGCTCCGTGTTTGCGGGAAATATTTAGCTAAGCCATGACCCGCATGCATAAGTTATGAATTGGTTCGTGTCTGATCTAATCTAGAAAAATTATTTTGATCTAGATCAAAAAATCCTATGGTTTTGACAGTTCGGATCACTGCACATTTAAATCGGCCGTTTACGATTTTCGGGCTTGAGTCAGAATTAAGTGTCATGTCGGTTTGTCGGTGGTATGTCGTTACTGTGGTCCTATTTTTTTGCGGTACAATGTTTAAAAAAAAAACTTATTCAAAGAGTTACATCGGTCTGTCTGTGGTTTGTTTGCATGCTATTTTCGACATATACTTAGCTTTATCATTTGGTTTGTTGATCGCTTGTCATTTTGTCATCTGGAGATATATTTTTTTTTATATTAATGCAGTCCAACGTAATTGGCAAATCAAAGTTGGCACTCGTGGAGAATAGATGAACTGCGAAAGTGATGATGGTTTCAAAATTTTACACGGTGAGGTATACGAGTTCAATCTTAAAATGCCTTTATTTTGCAAATTGAGCATTTTATTTAAATCTGGTTAATACTACGTTAGTAGAAAACTTAAGGACTACTCAGTAGATATATAATATAGAAAAATTAATTTATTTTCAACATACACCTAGATTTCAGCTTTTCTCAAACTGTAGCAACAACCAGATTTGAATTCAATGCTCCATTTTCAAAATAAAAGCATTTTAAGATTGTACTCGTATACCTCTCCGTGGAAAATTTTGAAACCATCATCACTCTCATAGTTCTTCTATTCTCCACGAGTGCCAACTTTGATTTTCCAATAAACTCTATGTTATGTAGCAAGCAATGACAATCTGTATAAGGCTGTCCACGAGACAGTTGCGATCACCTGACTTTTTTGTTTACCCAGAAATTTTGACAGATCACAGTAGAACTGACAGTTCACTCTCATATGAATTTTTGCAGCACCATTAACACCAGATCACTCACACACTCTTGATTTCTAGCTGTCAGTTCCACTGAGAAACGTCTCTTGGATCACCTTATTATAGCTTTCATTTAGATTATCATTGCTTGCCTCAGAACAAAAGGCTGATAGCCCACTTCTTTTAGTGTCTGACTCATATTTGACGTATACTATATTAGACGAGTTCATGTTCCTGTTCTCGGTCTGGTCTAGAAAATATATCAGGTAGAAAATTTTATCGACTTCCCTGGGCATAGAGGTCCTTGTTTGTGCTAGCCACACAATATACAAATTCCATTGCATAATGGTTGGCATAGACAGCTATCAATTAAGAACTGTGAAAGTTCTTCAAAAACACTAAAGAACCACGCACAATGCAACCGGATGTGAGAAGAAAATGACAATCTATCAGCCATCCCGGTGAGAAAATATCCAGCTCGAAAAGATCCTCGACCGATTTCAACTCGAGAAAGTTCAACCCGCTCAGAACGCGCTTTTAGTGACCAGGCGAACAACCAAAAACCACCAAACATATTCGCACGAAATTTCGTCATACCGCTCAATCGAGTCTGACGCAATCGTTTTTGGGGGACGCCCGTGTCAACGATAAAGTACATCGACGACAATGTTGGGAATCCTGATAAGCTCGGAACTGTGAACTGCAACTGACCCACGTTCCGTAATCGACTCTAATCAGATTGTAAAGCAAACCCATAAATATTCCCTATCTAGCGGGAAACACGCGTCGACTTCCCGCAACATATTTAGCTTACAGAGCCAGAGTTCTCCACAACAGACGTCTAACAGGTGATCCACCCACAGACAACTAATACTTTCTCGCGAAACACGATCCTTGTCTACGGCCGCATGTAACCGGCGTGCGTTGCAATCGTGATCGGACACGACTGGGCGGCTTGCCGAAGGAAGAACGCATACAAGATTCGAAATCAACCAATCGGATCGCTCGGTCTTATCGGTGGCCGGTCGCCTTTGCCTACCTTGCCCATGCTAGGATTGGCTGGAACCGTATGGCTGCTGGACCGTAGCGCCATCATATTTACGTTGATGAAGTCATGTGAATCTGTCGCAACCCCCTTTCACGCCGGTCGGTTTTTGGCTTTTAATATAAAAGATGTGCGCCGGTTCAGTCAGTAGCGTTAGTCATTTCAAAGGCAAAAGACCGAACATAAGTGGCGCTTGAGCAGTCGTCCGGTTTGAAAGACAGAGAATAAGCGTGTACGGATCGGGAAGAGTGAGATTCGCTTCTTTTTTATTTTTGTGGCGGTTCTTGGAGCTAGGAAGCGAGGACGAACGCGATTCTTGAAAAAAAAGAGAGAGAAAGTGCAGTGATTAATAGGTTGATAAGATTGTTTAAGAATATCTTGGAATTCTGTTGTTATTTTGGAATCCTGTTTATTGGGATCCTGTTCAGAAATCAAATGCATAAACAAGGATATCGAATGGAGCAAATAAGCCAGGTAAGAAGAAGTTGAGTCCAATAAAAGGGGATATAGCCAAATATAACGTAAATTTCATATGATAATAATGTGAAGTATGCATTAATACCAGCGCGATCAAAAACAACAAATGAGTTGAAAAGTTTCATAATTTATTGAAAACCTGTAATCAGGGTTGCTTCAACTCACTTGCTATAAAAAAATGTTTTCCTGAATTTTGAAGTCATTACATGTTATAATGATATTTTGTCCTTGTTAGATACAAGAAGAGGTTGAAAGGCAAGTGTTTGATACATACTACCTGTCAATTTCGATTCCAGAGTGTTATAATCGGTGATTTTATGATTCGTGAGCGTTCACTCAGAGTGAGCGCTCGGGAGTCGTAAAATAGCTGATAATGGCTATCTGAAAGCGAATTTGACAGGTTTTATGTGTCAAATACTTACCTTTCAGCCTCTTCTTGTGTCTGACAATGACAAAGTATCATTATAACATCTAATGATTTCAAAATTCAGAAAATATTATTTTTAATTTTTATAGCAAGTGAGTGGAAGCAAGCCTGCCTGTAATTGATAATTTCAAAGCTGTTTTTCAACGGTGGACTATCATATGTAGCAATAATAAATATAAATAAGATAATTGCAAAAAAGCAATAAAAAATTAATATTAAATAAGAATTAATAAAAAGAACAAAATAAAAAATATAAAAATTATAATTTTACAATAGATTATTGTAAGCTGTCAGTTTTAGCACACCAATACTGACAGCATTTTGCCAACTTCCTATTCAAACAAAAAATGTACAAGGTGAGTTGAGCATTTTTCCATAAATCGATTAAAGAAGCAGAAAAAATATTTGGTTGGCCATTATTCGGGAAAAATAAAAGCTACCACTTGAACCATTTTTTTGCTGAAAAAATGTGTTAAGGGTGTTGTATTTTATATGGACCGTTTCAATTTGAAACTAGAACAGAAACGCACCTCTCGCAATGCAGAGAAGCAGTTTCATTATTTGACCACTATTTTGCACTAGAGAGGGTCTAGTATAAGAGAGGAGTGGATTTAAAACAAGCTGCCATGGCAACCTATGCCTGGGTGGTTTCTAGCAACACTGCCAATCCAATCAAGATGGCGCTGCTATATTGGCTCTGGCTTTGACAGTTCTTTTGGCTCAAAACCAGCCAGTCCGCTCCTCTCTTATACTAGACCCTCTCTGTCTGTCTGTCTTTGTTAATTCCTCTAGATCGATCTCCAAAAACTTCTCTGGTTATTTTTTCAATTAACCACTTCATTCGAGCAGTTAAAATGACGTTTAATACCACTCGAAATTTGAAATAAAACATTATTTTGGGATTTTGTCTTCTAGAACCACGAGAAAAGTAGCCAACATTTGTGCGTTTCATAAAAAAATAGAAATTAGTTGGTCCAGTCTTGTGAAATCGCTGGTAGAAAGTCACGCCAAAACTGCTTGACAAAGTGGTCAATTCCTCTGGATGTATTCTTCTAACCCAGGCGAAAACGAGGTCACGAAATGAAATCTCATTCTGTTACTGTTCGGAGAGTAGGCAAATTGATAGAGCAAATAAATTTGCTTTTCATTATAGCGATCTCCGAAAACTTCTCTGGATATTTTTTTCAATACTTCAATTCTGAAGATCTTCACTGTACAATAATTAAAATCACGTCTCTTAGATATTCTCTTATTAAACCCGGTTGTTCAGAAATTATTCCTAAGACCTTCAGGTGATCAGATATCTCGAAAAAAATCTTTTGATATTTTTTCGATACTTCAGAAGGATCTCAGAGATTCTTTCATGATACCAGGTGTATAAGAAATTATTCCAAAGTCCTTCAGGTTGTCATAGGTCTTCTAAAACTTTTCAGGATATTTTCTCAATACATCAGGATGATCAAGTATCAGAGGTTCTCTGGGTGTTTTAGAAATTATAGCAAAGCCTTCAGGTGCTCATAGGTCTCCGATAACTTATCAGAATATTTTTTCAAAACTTCAGGATGGTCAAGTATTGTTCTGAAGATCTTCAACTGTCCAAAAATCCAAATAACTTCTCCCAGAGATTATCTCATGATATAAGGTATCCCAAAAATTATCGCAAAGACCTGAAGGTCACAGGTCCCCAAACACAGTTCAGTGGCCACCCTGCATGTTTAGACAGCAGTATCGTCCGGGATCTCTTCTCGTGGTTCGAACTCGTTACCTGACGTTACCTGCATTACTTTGTTGTAATCATCTTGTTCCAGGAAACATGTTCTTGAATCGGAATCATCTTCTCCGTTCATGCTAAAATCACAACCTTTGCACACGCACACATGTGTAGGGTTTGAATACCAAACACCTTTTAAAACTGTGCGTTGCGCTGATCGTGTTGCAGCTTCATTTTTGACAGTTTCAAATTTTAGAACTGACAAGTAGTATAAAACATTTTTTTTTAAACGAGGTTTATTCCAAGGGGCAAGACAGCTGTACTCAGAGTAAATATATTTGCTGCGAGTAAATTTGATTTACTCATATTTACTCAAAAATCAACAAAGTAGTTTGGAATTTTTCATCATAAGATGTAGTGGAAAGAACCTCCGTCTGACAGAATGTTTTGTTTAAATATTTTTAATTAAGAGAAAATTTAGCATTTGGCATCAGATTATCAACTGTCATATAGCATGATGTCAATGAAACGGCAATATTAACTTTTCATGCATTAGAAGATCCAAGTTACATTGCTTTTGTTTAGGCCAGGGACCTCCTTTGCTTTCTAGGGATTGATGATCTTTTTTTTCGGGATATGGTGATGTGATTTCCTGACCAAAGAAGTTGGAATTTGACCTAATATTATGAGAAGATTATTTTAGCTCATGAAAATTAATACTCAACGTCTCAACATCGATGTCAGAGGCTTCTTGTTCTGTTGAATTAGTTTCTGGCATGAGGAAACTCAACATTACTAATTATTTATAATTAAGGTGTACAGTGATCAGCAAAATTAAATTTACAAGCTTTCGTAATGGAAGATCGATATACATCTCAAAAAAAGTCAGAGTAATGGTCAATTGTCACTAGAAACTTCCTGATTTAGAAAAAGACAGTTGAAAATTGTGTTCAGAAACGGGTTAAATTTTCATCGCCCGGTGTTGTTGTGATGATCCACATTTAGCACAAATGGAACATTGACGAATACGGTTTTTATGTAGCTGTTCATCCCAGGTCGCAATATTTAGATTAGTTTCGTCCATCTTCATAGTTGATTCTATTCCAACACTTACATGAGCGATCGTCGAAGGGATACAGGAATCCCTTCATCTCTTTTTTGTCATGCTACTTAGAATTGTTCAGAATCCTCCATTTGGGATGACTGTAGTCCTTCCTGAGATTGTCTGGAGTATCCCTGGAATTGTACGGAATCCTTTTTGCGATTGCTTGAGCTCCTCTCTGGACTGTCATGAATGCCCCTTAATTTTTACTGAAATCGTCCTTTTGACTGTCCAGAATCCCTGTTGGGTTTGCCCGAAGTCCCCTTTGATATTGTCCGCAAGCCGTACTGTGAGTGTATGGAATCTATTTTTGAAAACTGTCTGGAATCACCCCTAGGCTAGTTCGGAGTCCCTTCGAAGACTGTCAGATATCCCCCTTTCGATTGACTGGAATCCTTCCAGAGATTGTCAGAAGTCTTCTAGGGATTGTCCAGAGGCCCTCTGGGACTGTCCTGAATCCTTCTTGTTATGAATCCGTATTATGTGGTTGCTAATGTTTCACAGCGTGCTATACGAAAGTGCAATTGCCTTTCCATTACTTGACAGCATCGGTTTCAACACAACAACCAGGTTGCTATATGTAAATGTTGTTGAGCAGAGTTACTCAAAATTAACTCCGATTATTCTCATGATCGAAAGCTGTAAATGGCATCCCTTGATGGTTATTTACAGTTCGTGATAATGACAAACTGACCATAAACGAAGAAATGACTAATACGCTAAGATTCTGTGCTTATTATACTGAAATTTACCAACCAATTGCGTCTCACAAATACTGTGAATAAAGCTTGGGGGGACCACAAGATTATACACGTGGCACGTAAGCTGCACAAAAGATGGTGGATTAATCTCTCTGCACTCCTGCAGACAAGATGGATGACCGGGAGGTCATCCGGATGTTGTTATTTTTCAATAAAAATTTATAACATTCCCTCCTGTAGCCAAGTGTTGGTACAGTATGGCCCCGCTACTCCGACAAATTTGTGGCCGGGTTAACGGGGTTGATCCGATATTCAAATCCATACAACAATCCAATCTAACCTAACAATGTTTTTACAAAAGCTCCATACGAGACCGTTAGGTCGGATTAACGAGAACTGGCTTAGCAGGGGGATCCTGTAGATAGCAAAGCTAGCAACAAAATCGTATCACTAGCCTGCATACAAGTTTGTTTATAAATGTAACTATTTGCCGGCACACACGCAGTACCGGTTAAATCATGTTTGTTTTTTGTTTAATCAAACTACATCTTTAAATTCAAACTAATTTTAGTAAAAGAAAACGAGCATGGAAATCAATTCAAATGAAATTTACTGAGCACACTTACTACAAATCGCGAACAAAGCACTTATTGGCAATGTTTTGAGGGTTTTTTTTCAATACCCGATTGATATAACCTATTCTTAGCAAGAACCTTGTGACTGTGATTTCTTACTATCGCAAGTCATAATCTTATCACATAGTAAGCAACTCTTTCATCAGGCATCAGAGTCTGAAGAGGCACGCCAGCTGCACATGAATCAGAAAAGAGCGTTTGATCTCCCATACGTCACATCGTAGCAATTAGACACAATCGTGACGATTTTGAGTTGATATGTGTCACACTGTTATTTAAAGGCATTGATAGCCGGATTGAAGGCCATCCTGCAGGTGATTGCGCTTATCAGGTGGGCAACACAAAAAAGCCATTTTTATCTGAGTCATTATATAAACCCGGTAGAGAGTTATCGACGTCAAGGAGTTTCTCGTGATTTCCTTTTCCGAGTGTTTCACCTGAACTTATCATCGTGTACAGCCACAGTGGCGCTCTGGATATAGAAGCTGGAAGGCGGAAACTTAAAAGTCTTCTTTCTCACCAAAAACCAAAACAAAAGCTGTTATCACGAGTCAAGACCATGCGTTCGACAACCTAGGACAATGGTAGTTTCCAAAGAATCACAAGTTACACACTTCTGAAGAAAACTGTTACGCGGTTCTGCTCGGAAATGTTCCCTTTCCAAAGCAGGCAATTGACCTGCGTTAGCAACAGCTCTTCGTTGATCACTGAGCGAGTAAACATTGCCACGTTCTAACTGGTAGCACTCCTGGTTTGGTTCGGAGAGTATCAGCTTTGAAGAAACAGAATGGAATAAGTAGATGATGGCGATGAATGATGCAATTGATACTGATAGTCCACATAAAGGGCAATAAATTTTATGAGCCGAATTTGACGGAACCGAAGAAGAATCTAACGCTTGGCTACAGCCAGTCTGTGAATCAAAACAACGTTGTCAAGCTGATCGTTCGTTAAGAAGTATGTCAAGTTTGTGAACTGTTACACACACCTCTTATCGGCCGCACAAACATGTTTGCTGGGATCGCTTTGTGTTTTTGTTTTGAATTACCACGTGGCAACAGAAAAGGGGTACTGCAAATACGTTGAGCATTCACTACATGTGCAAAAATGCAAACATTTGTTATTTCACCACCGGTAATCGGCATTTCACCATACTGCTCCGCATCACGAGACAATCCCGTGCAACGTTTATACGTTCATGCAGGATGAAGTCCATCCGCCGGTATGATCATATGATGCTCGCAAAAAACATCAGCTGCAAAGTGCAAACAATCCGCTATCTTCGGATTTAGATTGGCACGGCAAAAAGTTTTATGGCACGTAAATTGTACCAATATTTCCAACAATTAAAACAATTACTGATAATATGCAAGTGACACATGCTCTTCATACACATGGTGTTCACCTGTTCGTCACCTGCCTAATGATAATGTGCCAGTTGTCTTAGTCCGGTTTGTTATTGTTTTCAACCGTTCCATCTGGACGTCACCTGATACCGTCAAATCCGTCTTGTTCAGTTTGTAAACAAATGGTTCGAAATTAATTTCCCAGGAGTTGTTATTATAATACCAATCTTAATTTCGTTCCGCTTTCTGTCATTTCGTAGATAAGCACAAGTAGCAGTGGCAAACAATCGCACCACACCCTCCCCGGCACTTCGATTCGACCGCTAGGGTTACTGCTGCTGGTTTGTTTACTAGCCTCGATGGTACAAGTCTCTGCCAGACCTTCAGACGCTGCTAAGCCAGTTGCTATGGTTTCATCGAGCGATCGCAGTAATCCAGCATCCATTCCGCATCGCAATCTCAAACGGCGCTCGGCGGAAGAGCACGACTACGGTGACTATTTCGATGAGGAATATTTGCACATCCGACGTTGTTATGAAGATGTAAGTATACCAGTAGAAAGCGTGATACACTGATCTTGATTATATTTTTCTGAAAGCAACTCGAGTTCACGGTTTTCTTATGTACTTATTTTGCATTCTCATCCCCATTCAGGAAGATGTCAACGAACTGTGCCAACGATGTTCGAAGGTGACGAAATCAGCTATCGTGTTTCCGATGTGCTGCAGTAACGAAGACGAAACGATGGACTGGTGCAAGGCGTACGTCTACTACGGTATACAGAATTGATGATCTACAATCTCCATCGTCGCACTCTCGGGAAGTGCACGCGCCACTTAGACTGATCCACTGATTAGCCTAGCTAGCAGAATCTATTTATTTATGTACAAACGTCCCCGTTCATCCTTCGTGTCGTCGTCATATTTGTGTCCGTTATTTCATCGTGTCGTAATTTATTAATGCCATTATTACTTACATTACCGGAAGTGGAAGGAGATTAGAAGACTGCTGTGATTCCTACTTTATTATAAACTAGGTAAAGGTAGTAAGATAGGCTAACAATGAAAATAAGCAGCCTATGGCAGATAGACTTACACTGAACGCTAGCTCTAACTGCCAAGACCAGTTACGATCGAATAAAACTATTAAACTAATATGTATTCTGCAACAAGAATCCAACTTGTGTAATTAATACAATATCACTTATAATCAGAAAAAAAAAACACAAAACCAAATTTGAAACAATCCAGAAAAGACCGGTTATGGCTTCAATCTATCAGCCACACCAAAATGCGACTTCGAAATAATCGGGTCATAAGACCAGGGACAGGAGCTTCGAATCACCAGCTTATCAGAGTAACTGTTGTGGTACAGCTGGCAGCTGGAACTGCGATGATAATTTCATGAAGCGGGTATGCGTGCTGATTGTTAGACATTCTAATGCAGAGATTAAAACACACAAACAAAAACTCTTAACACAGTCATCGAGTATCAATACACTGTTGCTATCATTATTTGCCAAACAATATAAGAATGCTCTCTTGCCTAATTTATCCAAATTATTATTATATTTTTCAATAAATCATAGTACAAACACGGATCATGTTATCGAAATGACATCCGAGACAAAGTTGTAGGAAACTGAAATCAAAAAAATTGATTTATTTTAAAACAGTAAGCAGTACAGGTCCATTATTTGCACCGTTCAGCTTGAATTGACCCTTGTTAATCAGTTCTAGCAATTTAGATTTATATTTTGTGTTTTTAGATTTAGATTAGGTTTAGAATTTTCCCCTTTATCTTACACAATTTTGATTACGCCCTTTTGGTTTCATACTTTTTGTTTGACAAACTGTCAATTTGGCCCCACTGGCGCCTTATTGTTTTTTCGTTTTCATTTGCGCACTTTTGCAGAAATTTAATGTCTTGGGTTTCTTTCGTTTTTTTTTGTTTTTTTTTTTCGTATGCATTGAATTATGTAATCAAAATCACCACCATAATCTCTGATGGAATTGTCATTGTTTTCATTTCTCCCACCGGTAACGAACGCGCAAAAATTATAAAAAACTGAACATGCAAGATCAAACGGAGGCCTTTAATCTGTGCCGACCTCGTGTTGGAAGTCAGCTAAAGTCATACCCACCCGGAAACCTGGGAAGGATCCGTCCTCTCCTTCAAGTTATCGACCAATCAGGCTTCTCTCAGGGTTATCAAAACTGTTCGAAAGAGCAGTCTATCACCGGCTCCTAACATCTGCCGAAGAAAACAACTTGTTACTCGGGGAACAGTTTGGTTTTCGGAAAGGTCGTTCGACCGTGCTCCAGCTGACTCGAGTAACAAACATTCTCAGACGAAACAAATCTGTGTCGAAAACGTCTGCCATGGCGTTGTTGGACGTTGAAAAAGCGTTCGACAATGTCTGGCATGATGGCCTGGTGTTCAAATTGCAGCAGTACGGTCTTGCAATCTTCCTAGTGAAGATAATAAATATCTATCTATCGGACAGGACGAGTCTCTCTGAATGGCATCACATCGGATGCTTTCAACATCGGTGCCGGGGTTCCACAAGGAAGCATCCTTGGCCCCATTCTATTCAACCTGTTCACCTCCGATATGCCGGCTCTCCCTGATGGTGGATCGTTGTCTCTGTTCGCAGATGACACATCCAGCGTCTACAAGGGTAGGGTCATCGGAGCTCTGACTGCCAAACTTCAGACAGGCCTGGACGTCCTGTCTGAATATTTCAACAGCCGGACCCAGGTCAACATCTTTCCACACTCTTAACACAAACGAAGTGACAGACGACTAACTGGCGAATAAATCCATTAAAATAATGTGGTTCACAGTAAAGAGCCTAAATTTATAAAGAGGCGAAATGTCAAAATTGGAACAATCGATTGTCTGTCAAAGTCATAGGAAAAGTCATTCCAATCGAGCAGAAGACCTGTCAAATGGTTAAGATGTCGTCTCTTTATAAATTCAGGCTCTTTAGTTCACTGTAATAGAATTTTCTTGGACGCTTGTGCCATCATCCACCAGATGGGTTAGTTTTTTTTGTTTTGATTTGAACAAAGTTGATTTTGTGTACAATGATTCTTTGACAGTGTGCAAAGAGTGTATCATTTTGCGATTTTTTTATGCATTTCAGTTTTGAGCAGAGTGAAAGAGATAGAACCAAAACATTCTAATACATTTGGTGAAAATGCTAGTACAATCCAGTAGTAGTGTTGCCATGTGGTACAATCTAGTAGTAGTGGTGTTGTCATGTGGTACACTGAAAAATTGAAATAGCAGGTTAGTCGCCAAAGTTTTCGAGCCGCTCCGTCTGTCACTTCGTTTGTGCTCTAAATCTCCCAGACTTGTTCCGTCGGAGAAATGTCGAAAGAAGTAGTCTACCTAGGCCTAACATTAGACAGCAAGCTGATTTTCAGGGAGCACGTTGATAAAACGAAAACCAAGCATAACATCCTGATAAGATTCCTGTGTCCACTCATAAACAGGAGATCTACCCTGTCCCTGAAAAATAAGCTTGCTGTCTACAAACAAATCATCCTGCCCGTAATCGAGTACGGTATGCTAATCTGGGATAGTTGCACCAAATGCCATCACCTCAAACTCCAAAGGATCCCGAACAAGATCCTTAAGATGATCCTACACAGCAAAAAAAAATTAATATCACATCAAAGTGGATGCACTTCAATCGTGTCGAAAACATGGTGTAATATTACTTGACAAAATTATCATTAATTTAGTGCATGAACTGACATTAGGCTGCTTTAACTGCATTTGTTTATTTTTGTGGTTATAAAAATTACATGAGATTTTCGACATGATCGAAGTGCATCCTCTATCATCCTTGTTGTCTAAACAGTCCCCCGCGAACTAGAAATTCTGAGATCCACCTCCTGGCTGGAATTCATATCATACGTGATCATACGTGATCTAGCACGTTATACTCGTAGTTAACTCTTTTTTTTCAATTCAAGCAAATCAAACCCCCCCCCCCCCAAGGGGAATTCTGTAGACTAGAAGAAAAACGTGAATTCGTAAATTAGTATAAAAAATTTAACAAAGATGAAGAGGCTGATAGCGAAGGCAACAGTTCAATAAGACTGGAAACTCTTCCATTTTCTCATACGAACGCCATGAGACGGGTACAATCACGTCATCTGCCGCTCAAAGGTAAATGCTTCGAACGAATTTGATAGCAAAGATTACATCCTCAGAAGAAGGGTTTGTGTATTTGCTAATTTTTCTATGCGTTGCTTCCACCTTCACTCAAGCGCAGCGTCATTGTATCTGTATCTGTTGATTTGTTGTCTTCGCTGATAGGCTAATCAATTAAAATGTTAACACAATGTAAAATCATAATTAACAGATATAAACGTAATTTTACTTTAAATCAAACGGAGGCCACTTGTGTTCCACTTTTAAGCAAGAAATTGCTCTCTGGTGCAACATCGGATATGCAATGGAAAGGATTACGTTGGTTTTATTTTTGTTTCAGCGTCCGGTTGTACGTCGATAGCAGCGAATTGATCGATCGGCTACTGGTTTGCCGTTGGCGACGATTGATGATCGTTAATTTGGAACCGCGTAGACAAGATAACCTAATCGGGTCCTGAGGTTTCCAATCTTGTGAATGATTTTGGGTGAATTAATAGGTAATATTCTTTTTAGAATAATGCATTTTAGCAACTACAACGGATTTTGCTGTCCAACAGCGTTGTCGAATTGCTAGACTATCCTGAACAATAATGGCATCTTATGCGGACTCCCTGTAGGTCAGCATTATTTGCTTTTTTCAATTGCCTCTACTCGGACTGTTGTTCTTTTGGCGCCTCTTGTCACACGAGGCAGATCTTATAAAGCATATCGGCCCACAAAAGAGTGGTGTTTTCGATATGAATAGAAGTTTCTTGAAAAAAAGATAGGAAAGAGTAAACTACCTGCAGCTTACCAATGCATCTGTAGCCGAGGCTGATGACCATGTTCCGGAATTGACCAGAATATTTGGGTTTCTTAAATAGTCTCACCTATCAGCAACTTGCCTCTTCGCTCCGTTTCAGAAACATTAGTTTCTCGCGTTCCGAGCTTGATATCAAAATATGATCATTAGTATATAAACAATATATTTCGAAGTGCCATCCGGTGTATGAAAGTATGTAATGAAATCTGAAGCGGGACGTGCAGTCAAATCAGCCTACTGATCATTCTTGTCCGAAATTGGTTCCATGTACACTCAAAAACATTACAATACTAAGATTGATTAAAATTAAATAATTTTATGATTATGCAATGTTTATACCTTGATCGGATTAAAGTTTTCCTTAAAATTATACTTAGTCCGAATAACGGTGGGGAAATCTAATGTATACAAAGGTAAAACAAATCGAAAGCCAAATCAAACGTGATGGCCCTTGTGATCGTTCAACTTTCTTTTTTTTTGTCGAAGGTATGTGAATTGGAGAGAAAATTTCGCTATTTTATATTTTACATTATGCTAATAATATAACAAAAGTTTTTCGCCAATTTCCGTCAGTATTCATATGGTCAGCATATTCCGCTATGATGAAATACAAAGCAACGCAAGTTTTGTTCCGTGAATCCTGTTGACAGGCTTAGGTATAGCCTCGGGTATACCGGCAACGAAATCGCAGGATCTCCCAGAAGCCTAGTTTCGGGAACCAGCAAGTCACAGTCACCAGAGATGAACGTCAGAGCGATCCACAGTAGCAATACATCCGGCGATTCTGTCAACGGCAGTAGCGACAAGTGACAATTTAGGGTGTTCCATAAAATATGTGAATTGAACATACAAACTTTTTTATTATTAGAGATAGGCCAAAGCAGTGTTCTAAGCAGTTGTAGAACATTCAATTCAAAGCAAATTTGTTGAAGACACAACGTTTTTATCTCCTAAGGTTCATGAGTTATGATTTTTATTTTAAACAAGCAGGTTAGGGTGGCCACTAAAATTGGTTTTTTTTAACGGCGCCGGTGGTGTAGTGGTAAGTGTGATTACCTCTCACCCCAGCAGGCCTGGGTTCAATCCCAGTCGGCGCCGCCGGGATGTTCTGAG